TGCCTCTATTCTCAAGACAAACTTCTTCACCCCAACCAAGGTGGCCCTCAGCTTCCGGCTCAACCCTCATTTCCTCCCGGAGCACGAGTATCCCCAACCTCTATATGGCATGTTCCTGGTCATTAGCTCCGAGTTCCGCGGATTCCATCTCCGGTTCCGTGATATTGCGCGCGGAGGTATTCGTATCGTCAAGAGCCGGAACAAGGAAGCCTACAGCATCAATGCCCGCTCTCTGTTCGATGAGAACTACAACCTGGCCAATACTCAGCAACGCAAGAACAAGGACATTCCCGAAGGCGGTGCCAAGGGCGTAATCCTGCTCGACGTGAATCACCAGGACAAGGCCCGTGTCGCTTTTGAAAAGTATATTGACAGTATCCTTGATCTCTTGCTGCCACCAGTCAGTCCTGGCATCAAGGACCCTATTGTTGATCTGTACGGCAAAGACGAGATCTTATTTATGGGCCCAGATGAGAACACGGCTGAGCTGGTCGACTGGGCCACAGAGCATGCCCGGAATCGTGGTGCCCCATGGTGGAAGTCTTTTTTCACGGGGAAGAGCCCCAGACTGGGCGGCATCCCTCATGACACCTACGGAATGACGACGTTGTCCGTGCGGCAGTATGTTCTTGGAATCTACCGCAAGTTAAAGATCGATCCCAGCACCATTCGCAAGCTACAAACCGGTGGTCCCGATGGTGATCTAGGCTCCAACGAGATTTTCCTCGCCAATGAAAAGTACACTGCCATCGTGGACGGCTCTGGTGTGATTGTTGATCCCCAAGGTCTCAACCAGGAAGAGCTTGTCCGACTGGCTAAGAATCGAGTCACGATTTCGGAGTTCGACCTGTCCAAGCTTTCGCCCCAGGGTTACCGAGTCTTAGTGGACGAGAGTAACGTGAGATTGCCTAGCGGCGAGCTCGTCCACAATGGAATGATCTTCCGCAACCTGTTTCATCTGCGCAATGATCAGCAGTATGACACCTTTGTGCCTTGCGGTGGTCGCCCCGAATCAATTGACCTATCCACCGTGGGCAAGCTGATCAACGATGGCAAAGCCACCATTCCCTACATTGTCGAAGGTGCCAATCTGTTCATCACACAAGACGCCAAACTCCGCTTGGAGCGTGCCGGCTGTATTTTGTTCAAGGACGCGTCCGCCAACAAGGGTGGTGTGACCTCGTCTTCCCTGGAGGTTCTGGCTTCGTTGTCTTTCGATGATGCCGAGTTCGTGGAGAACATGTGCATTCGTGAGGACGGCACGGTGCCTACTTTTTACAGCGAATATGTCAAGCAGGTTCAAGAAGTGATTAAGCAGAACGCCACCCTCGAATTTGAGGCTATTTGGCGCGAGCATGAGCAAACTGGTGTGCTCCGTAGTGTGCTCAGCGATCAGCTTAGTATCGCGATCACCAAGCTTGATGAAGAGCTTCAAAACACCGAGTTGTGGGATAATGTCGAGCTCCGTCGCTCGGTTCTCCACGATGCTCTCCCTAAGCTGCTTCTGAACAAGATCGGCCTGGACACTATCCTTCAGCGTGTACCGGAGAATTATCTGCGGGCTATTTTTGGTAGCTACCTCGCCAGTCGGTTTGTTTACGAGTATGGTAGCAGCCCAAGCCAATTCTCTTTCTTCGATTTGTGAGTGCCCTGTTTTTGACGCTGCCGTGACTTCGCTAACTTGATTGACAGCATGACCAAGCGACTTGCGCAGATTTCCCAGGCGTAAACGTGATTTTTAGACGAATATACATGAGTCTTCCTTGATTCCTTAGAGAGTGCGATGATATGCATCTTCCGGGTTATGCCTGCTGCACATATGCAGTTTGTTATGGATATATTAATTATGAGTGGACGTCAGTTGTTTTGTGGAATACAGAAAAGCTGCTACGAGCCTAGCCTAATAAAGTGATTTATTCATCTTCAGGACCGTTGGTCTTCTCCGTTCTTCCATGGATTGATTAATTTAGATCGTCTTGCCGTAGCATGGGCAGCTTTGGAATGATGTATGGTATGCAATTACGACCAAGAGCAAGGGAGATCTTAAGATTGATTATTCATGCGGTGTCGCTCAATCGTGATGCAATGCCCCTTTCTACCAGAATCTCACATGTGACACATCTGCGTGGCACAATGACTGCATATAAAGCAATGGACGCACGGAGGCTCACTCCGCCGGCCATCAATGAACCGCTAAACCGCTCAATCGCATTGTACGCACAAAACCGCCCGCAGAAAGGACTCGCTCTATTTACGTTTAAATGTCAATTTCCTTCATTTCGATATTGAATTGTGGGCCCTCGTCATGCTCGATGCGTTCGATCTGCTCTAGCTGCGCCCACAGCTCGGGATATTTGGCTCGGGCCCACTTCTCGACCTCATCTTTCCAGTGTTGGTAAGGAATCACGTTGTAGAATTGACCGATCCTAAAGGGCACGTTAACCAAACCGCGCGGACATGACGGCAGGTAAAGCCGTAGACGAGGGATGTAAGAGTGTCTAGGGACAGGGGGGGGTTGAACTAACGAGTTGCGGGTCGGCTTGAGGCCAGTCTCGGCCTCCATCTTCTCCAGAGCCTCGGTGGCGAGGTCAAATTCGCAGTGGGCGGCCAGAGCTTTGACATACGCCATGTACAGTTGGCGGTTGCGCTCGATGCCCAGCAACTTGACCTTGTCCATCATCTTGAGGGCTTCCTCAACACCGTTGTTGTGCCTGGCGCATGTCTCAAAGAAGATAGGGATGGTCTTATGGGACGGACCCTCGTCCGACTCCAGGATGCTTCGGAAAACTTTCATTGCCTGCTCGGGCATGTCGCAGGAGGCGTAGGCGAGCATGAGCCCGTCGAGCACGCGCGTGGTTAGGTCGACTTCGACGTCGAGTTTGAGCATGTTGTGCACGAGTTGGAGGTGCTTTGCGGATTGGGTGCGAGCGATGCCGACAAAGCAGCGGGCGTATGTGTCAGGCTTGGGCCGTCGGGCGAAGTCCTCGGCCTGTCGCATGTGGCCGAAAACGAGGTAGGCGAGGTCGCTACGGTGGCGTTTGAAGAATGAGGTCATGATATCGGTGCGCGAGCGGACGCCGGTTTCCGGGAAGGCGAGCAGCAGCAGATTATACGTCTCCCAGACATCGGAGTCCTTTTGCTCGAGGTCCAAGATGAACCCGGTCAGCGAGTTGCGAATCGTCGCCCGTTCTTCCGTGTCATACAGCCCAAGGCGTGGCCGGAGCAGTGCCGAAACGCCCTCCCAGTCGAGTCGGTAGAGGAGCATACGTGTGATCGCTGCCACGGTCCCTGCCTCTAGCCGTACGTTGTTGTCAAACAACGGGTCCAGGAAGGCCGAGATGCGGTCGAATATCGCATCGTCCTGGCCTGAAAGGCAGAGAAGTTTGATTAACTTGTTCATTAGTGGCATGTTCGCGGTCGCCATGGCTTCCGGATCCTGCAAATCGTCCATGGAGCGCAATGCCCTCCCAGTATCACCCGCTAGGATGTAGGATTCCAGCTGCAAAAGCTGCGTTCTCGTGTTGGGTTCTAGAGCCCAGTGGGAGGCTAACGCAGCAAATTTGACAGCTAGAGCAGGGTCTTGTATCGCGTTTGCGTACTCTATCAGATCATTCACGCATGAGATAGTCAGAGCCTTCCTAGCATTCTCGTCGCCCGCCATCATAGTATTGGCCTTCTCTGAGACGGCAGTTGCACTCTGCTTTTGCACCCCTTCCCAGAAGAGGGTGATGCCCAGAGTCTTGCAGACCGGCATGTTGGAAAGTGACTCGAACACCGATGCTGCCCACGCGGTATCGGAGTTCAACATCGCATATTTGATAACAGCCTCTCTCACTGCCACTGTGGGCGTCTGCCCGTTCGAAAGAGGACATTCATAGATCGTTTTTGTCGCGGTAAACAAGTCCTCTTCGATAAGAAGCTTAACCAGGTCTTCATGAGATCTGTGGTCGAACTCGACGTCGAATTTCTCAAGATTCTCGGCTGTCCGTTCTAAACGGCGCTTCTCACCTACCATCGCAAATCCCTTCATAACCACATGCCATGGGGTCGGGCGAGCCATCTTCAGCCTGAACCAGAACCGCTCTAGAACGTCGCATGCTTCATCCGGGTGGCCATTCAAAGCCTGTATGTTGATATACGCAATGAAAGCCGACCGACTGATATGTTTCATATTGGGTGACGGATCACGGCACAATTCCGAAAAGGCAGCGCGAGCCAATTTTCGCACGATCGGTTGTGATTCAGGTAAACATTTGGCCTGTGATAGAACGGAGAGCACATTTTCGAGGGCCTCAGTCGACAACGTTTTCTGCCATTCCTCGGGGTTCAATTCTTCCGCATGAGTTCGCATGTAATGCCAGGTGACGGAGAGCAGGGTGGCATGGAAGTGCGTAATGACGCTGGGGGATGCAGCGCGTTGCCCCAAAAAGTCGTTCAAGGCATTGGCTAGAATTTCAAAGGTAGGCCCTCTGCTTTTGTCGGCCATTGACCTCATGAGGTCTCTCATAGGCTTTAGGCCAACCTCGGAGGGCAGAGTTGATGAATGCGGGCTAGTCGTTGGGACCACATTGTACGCGAAGAGCCCGCGTCGCTGGCCATGGTAGCTGGTCAAAAGATCGAGCTTGCGAGGCCTATGATTCCGGACCGTATGCAGTGAGCGATGGAGGCAGCGCGAGAATGAAAGCGGTTCGTTGTTCAAAATTGCCCGAAAAACTCGCCGGGTGAGGTGGGATTGCATTTTGGCGTTGCGGTGCGACGTGGAGCACCTACTAATCAGCAAGAGGGGAGCGAGGGTAGAGATAAGAGCTTGCCAAGCTATTCTGGACCATGGCTTGGAGCAAATAAGTCCGCAATTTGAGGCTGTTGAACAGCTTAAGTTATCGGGATAGATGGATGGGAATGCAAAAGACGCGAAGGAGGAGGGCGGAAGGTCCGATTATTCTCTCGGAGGCGGCTCTTGGCGGTTTTCCCGGAAAGGCGAAAATCGATTTCACCTTCACCCTCACCCTCATTCTCTCCGGCTTGAGACGCAAGCCACAGACTCCAAGTCGCCTTGCCTATTTACCAATAATGGCCCTCCACCTGTTCTCCTGGTCGCCGCTGCGCACCATCGGCTCGACTTTCAGTGCTGCATCCGTTCGTCGCTGGAACTGGACCGCTGCTTCAAGTGCTGCCGCAACCACTGCGCATGCTTCGATTCTAAAGGACCACAAATGTATGTGACCTTACTGTATGATGTTTCTCTCGATTCTGCGTCAGCCTGCAGCTCCCTTCAAGCTTATATTCAGCGGATGGCATCGCTGACTGTCCTTTGTCGCATTGTAGCTCCACTATCCCGTCGCCGAGCCCGTCGGTTGTTCATCGAAGACCAGAAGGCCGTTAACGAAAGCCGTCCCCTGGAGAGATTCCAGACCCGTGAATGGAAGGCCGGTGATATCTATGCACCTCACGATCTCAGTCCTGCGCAGATGAGAAGGTGGAGAGTGCGCCACTCCCCTTCCACAGATGTCTTCGACTCCCTGAACTTGAATCCCTTAACTATGTACAAGGTATGTGAGACACGGAGGTCAACGGTGAGGTCGTGCAGGCAGTCTAGGAAATCTTGCTAAGAAAGATTTGCGTCTAACAGAACTTCTCGATCATGTCCGAATACATGACTCCCATGGGCCGGATCAAGCACCGCAATGAGACCGGTCTGCGCCCAGTCAATCAACGGAGAATGGCCAAGGCTATCCGCAGAGCAGTCGGGCTTGGGCTGATGCCCAGTGTTCACCGGCACCCGGAAATTCTGGCCGCTCAGATCCAGTCACGTTCGGAGGGAGGCAGCACGTATTGAGAGATGTACTTATAGTTATCGCATCGATGGTGTCGGGGGCTGGGCTTGGCTTGTTCTTTTTATTCCCTCTTGGGCATTGTTTCATGTTGTCAGTTGGCTTGTTGTAAGATGATTATGAATCTCGGGCGGTGACCATGTACAGTACTATACTATCTCTCTACTAGGCCTTGACGTGATGCAATTTGGTAGCGCATAACAGTCAGTAACTAAGTGTCTTTTCACAAAGCAGCTACAGGTAAGGTAGACATCATGGATTGCAAAGCATAGGCTGGAGGGAGCGAACAGCGAGCGGCAAGTGACTTCACTTATTGGTAAGTTACTTGTTGTATGGATTGGATTGTACTTGAGTATCTCCGGCCCACCCAAACACCCAAATACGTACTACGTCAACAAGACTAGGTAAACACTCCCCGCCCACTGCCCACTTCCCCCCCCCCCTCTTCTCGTTCCATCTTTCTCCTACCTACTCCCTCCTCTCTCCATCTGTGCTGCCCTTTGAATTCAGAACCTCCCTTCTTCTACCACCTAGTCACTGATATTGTCTGCTGGATCAGCCATGTCAATCACTAATGGTCTGCCCTATCTCGATCCTGTTGGCTATGCTGCTGTGCCCCTCGGCTGACTATTAACTCCATAGAATCGATCTGGGCTGCGAACCCCACCACCACGAGGGGCCAGCCCACCCAGCTCTCGTCGGACGCCAAGGGTGAACGACTTGCATATGCGGTATGTTCTAATCAGACATTGGCAATAGAGACGATGTGCGGGCGCTGACGAATGCTTTGTTGGTACGCTGCACAGGCCAACAAGTCCATCTTCTTGCGCTCCATCGACGACCCCGCGATCGCCAGGCAGTACACAGAACACAAGGCCCAGACAACAGTCGCCCGTTTCTCCCCTTCCGGCTTCTATGTGGCAAGTGGTGATGCGACCGGTATTGTGCGTGTTTGGGACTGTGTCGGAGACGGCCTCACCAAGGGTGAATACAGCATTGTGAACGGCCGCATTAACGACCTTGCCTGGGACGGCGACTCCCAGCGCATCATTGCGGTTGGTGACGGCAAGCAGCGATATGGGCACTGTATCACCTGGGACAGTGGTAACACGGTCGGCGAGATCTACGGACACACACAACAAATCAACTCCGTCTCTATCAGGCAACAAAGACCGCTGCGAGCGGCGGCCGCCGGTGACGATAAAAACCTCGTCTTCTACCACGGCGCGCCATTCAAGTTCAACACAGGTATCCGAGACAAGCACGCCAATTATATTTATGGTGTTGGCTTTAGCCCCGACGGCTCGACCCTTGTCAGTGTCGGTGCTGACCGGAAGATCTGGCTCTACGATGGCAAGACTGGCGAGCCGAGATGTCAAATTGGAGAAGGAGAGCACAAAGGAAGCATCTTCGCTGTCTCGTGGGCTAGAGATTCGCGCAAGTTCGTGACTGCTAGCGCTGACAGGACCGTGAAGATCTGGGATGTGGAAGCGGGTAAGGTTACCCAGAGCTGGGATATTGGAGAAGAAGGAATGTCAAACGTCCGAGATCAGCAAGTTGGGGTGGTGTGGCCTCCGGCCAGAAGTGATAACCTGCTCATCAGTCTCTCGTTGAGCGGGGATCTGAACTACTTGGTGGAAGGCACTCCCCAGCCGCGGCAGGTGATCCAGGGCCATCAGAAGAACATCACGTCCCTGACTCAGTTTCGCTCTGGCAGCGACACGGAAACATTATGGTCGGGCAGCTTTGATGGAAGGGTTTGCCATTGGGATGTTCCGACGGGGACTGCGGAAGAGGTGGAAGGAGACGGCCATACAGCCTACATTGCCGGTCTTGCTCCGACTCAGGAGGGCGCCGGACGCATCTACAGCGTCGCTTGGGATGACACGATTCGCTCTGTTGATCTTGGTGCTAAGACCTACACCGGCGTTTCGTCCAAGTTGTCTGGCCAACCTAAGGGCATCGCGGCTGCGAAGGACAAGGTGGTAGTAGGGACAACCGAGAGCGTGGAGATCTATCACGATGGGCAGAAGACCGGTGAGTCCAAGCCTCAGTTCGCCGTGACGACAGTTGCAGCCCATGGGAACTTGACTGCGATCGGTGGCGAGGACTCGTCCGTCCAGATCTGCGACATCTCAGCCCAGGGGTTAATCCCCAAGACCGAGTTCAAGGCATCGCGGAACGCAATTTCGGCCTTGTCATTCTCGCTGGACGGATCGCTCCTGGCGATTGGGGATTCCCGGGGCCGGGTGCTGGTCTACAAGGCTGCCGATGGCCAACTGGTCACCGACCGTTGGACGGCGCACACCTCCCGAGTTACCTCCATCGGGTGGAACGAGGACAATACCCATGTTGTTAGTGGAGGCCTCGATACCAACATCTTTGTGTGGAGCTTGACGAAACCGGGAGACTGGCTGCAAGTAACAAATGCCCACAAAGAGGGCGTGAATGGAGTTGCTTGGATTGCAGGCGGATCTAAGATTGCCTCGGCTGGAGCGGATGCAGCGATCAAAGTGTGGAAGGTAGAAGGTTTAGCATGATGATGATAGATAGAGTCTTATATACAGTCTTTGTTTGAGAGTACTTTTTGTGATTTTGCTTTTCTTTTCGTATACCATACTTATACATATACACATACACATACACCTACACATACACCTACACATACACCTACAACCATATATACAGTACATACTCTATACATACATACATACATCCGTACATACATATACACACGTTACTGTGCATACAATAAAGCTGTCTGTGAGTTGCGTTCTGGATCGACGCCCAGAGTAAGTTAAGTTATTACTCGTACCTATGCTGTAACAGGGCAGTGATTAGTGGGTGTGAACACCCACCCATTGGTCGGCTGACCAGCTAGCTCTCCACCGCCCGCGCCCGGCGTTCTTCAAGCTTCCCCAATTCATTGTTCCATCATCCCAATCATTCTGGTTTGTTCCTTCTTTCCAGTCGGTCTACTGAGTACACATACATACAGTACGAAGAGCAAGAGTGAGGTAGTTAGCAGTGGGAAACTATGGTCCGGGCGCTGGTTCTCTCTTGTCCATTGCCCTGCCAGACCTGTTTCTCCTCCTCCTCCTCTTCCTCGCCCCCACCACCACAACACCGACTGTTTGTCCTCTTGTTTCCCTCTCTTCGTTTCTCCTACCTTGATTTTTTCTTTGGTGCCCATTTTGCTTCTTCTTGACGCCAGTACCATGAAGTGATAAGATGTCTCGGTCCGGGGACTTATCAAGCAGCTCCCGTCGCATTTTACGCCCCAAGAAGGTTAGCCAGCCATAGTCCGATGAGCCATGATTAGCCATGATTATCTAGATGATCACCTTCGATCCTCCTCCATAACTTATGGTGATTGACCCTTTTCCTTTTCATCATGAAATTAGCTCCGATATGCGACTTTCGTCCTCCCACGAACTGGTCAGCGACTGAAAGGTCTTATTCATCTACGAAATCCGGATTCCGGCTTGAATGGCAACAGCGAAGACGACGAGCGCCGAGCGCTTCTGACCGGCGAGATTGCTGCCCCTCGCAGAGGTCTATCGACGCGTCTGTGGGGTCATATCAAGAGTATTGGCCCGCAAGCGCATGAGTTTCTCTCGTCAGAACTGGGGATTGGCGTCTTGAAGTGTAGTCTAGCCTATTTGCTTGGCTCCCTCGCAACCTTCGTGCCCGCTATATCCTCATTCTTGGGCCATCAAGATGGCAAACACATGGTGGCTACGGTCACTGTGTATTTCCATCCTGCGCGATCGCAGGGGAGCATGTATAAGGCCTTGATTTGTGCCTTTGCCGCTTTCCTTTACGCCGCTCTTGTCTCCGTAACCAGCATGTTCGTCTCGATGTTCTTTCAAGACACCTTGAATCTGGTTCTCCTTGGTCACGCCGTTGTTTTAGTCGTGTTTTGTGGAGGTGGCCTGGGCTTTATTGGATGGACGAAGCAGAGATTTGGTGACCCTCTTGTGAATGTCGCATGCTCGTTGGCGTCGCTTTCCACCATCACGGTGTTGACAAAAGAGGGCGCGGTGCAGAGTGGTGATTTGTCATTTGCAAAGATCTCCCAAGTCCTGAAGATGGTGGTCATGGGCGTAACGGCCTCCATGGCAGTGTCTTTCCTGATCTTCCCAATCTCGGCACGAAAGCAACTGCGGTCAAACCTCACTACGGTCACGGAGACTTTGGCAACAATGTTGGCTTTGATCACCGAGAGCTTTCTGAGTGGCTCGGAAGAGGAGCTTCAGACTGCGGAATTTCTCGAGGCCGCCGCACGCCATAAAAAAGCGTACGGTCAGCTGGACAAGCTTGTGCGCGAAGCTAAAATGGAGCATTTCGTTGTAGGCACCGAAAAGGAATACAGACTAGAAAAGACACTGGTCCGCTGGGTCCAGGATATCACACACAATCTAGGCGGTTTGCGCAGTGCTGCTCATTTACAATTCCAGCTGCTCAAGCAAACCCAAGCTACCGAGACTGCACACCAGGGGTCGGATGTCAATTTCGGACTCGGTGCTGGCCCGCTACCCAGTCCCTGGTCATTGCATGAGGATCGTCCGCTTCTGGAACCCATCTATGAGAGGCCAGAAGAAGAGATGTTGGAGGCAACGGGCGGGGACGAATTCGATTTCAATGCAGAGAATGGTACCAGTCCTGGACCCGAACAAATTCTCCACCCGGCGGACATCTTTGCTATATTTATCAGCCACCTGGGGCCCTCAATGGTAAGCGGTTCTGATAACGATGATACCACCGTAATCCATGCTGATAATAGTCCTTAGAGATCTCTCGCGTTCACTTTGAAGGAGATATTTCGCGATATTCCTTTCAAACCAGAATCTGACTATCGAGTATCAATCAATAGCAAATACCGCTCGAGTCTCGATAGAGCACTACTATTATATCGAAATTCACGAGAAGAGGCGCTCAAGACCATCTATCGGCAACGAGAAGTCCTCGGGATTCAGACGCTGGAAGTCGAGGCTGACCTGGAGGAGGTGTCTGCCAGCTGCGGGCATTTCAGTTTTTCGTTGCTTGAATTTGGAGAACAGCTGAAAGAGCTTCTCGCCATCTTGGATGAGCTACAGCTCGAGAGCGAGGAGAGGCCCGGTGGCCGATCATGGAATTGGCTCAAGTTCTGGCGCTGGGCCTTCGGCGGAGGACCAAAGAGGGACATTTTGGATGTTACATTGGAGCAAGCTCATCTAGGCGAGCCCAACCTCCTCAAGCCGCCTGGTGGTTTGAGAGGGTCATCCAATGTCACCGCAATCAGTCTTGCAAAACAGAGACTTGGCTATCGTTTGTGGCGTTCCCTTGGGGTTTTCCGCCGGGACGACACCAAGTTTGCGATCAAAGTCGGCACTGGCGCTGCGCTTTATGCCCTGCCTGCATTCATCCCGTCCACTCGACCCGTTTACGGCCATTGGCGAGGCGAATGGGGTCTGCTCTCGTACATGTTGGTCTGTTCTATGACCATCGGAGCCTCGAATACTACGGGATACGCACGGTTCCTCGGTACCTGCTTGGGCGCAGGCTGTGCGATTCTCTCATGGTATGCCACTGACGGAAACGTTTTTGGCCTCGCAATACTAGGCTTGCTCATGGCTAGTTGGAACTTCTACATCATCATCGTGCGAGGTCAAGGGCCAATGGGTCGATTCATCATGCTAACATATAATCTCTCGGTTCTCTACGCCTATTCACTTGCTCAGAAAGAAGGAAGAAATGATCAAGATGAAGGAGGGGACAGCCCCATCATCACCGAGATTGCCCTGCATCGTGTGGTTGCTGTTCTATCAGGCTGTCTTTGGGGTATCATCATTACGAGGATGATCTGGCCGATCAGTGCACGTGAGAGGCTCAAAGACGGACTGAGTCTGCTCTGGCTTCGCATGAGCTTGATCTGGAAGCGTGGCCCCTTGTCCACCATGGCCAACCCGAAGGAGTCTGCGGGATTCATGAGCGCCCGGGAGAAGCTAGAAGTCGAACGATTCCTGTCACATCTGGAGTCTTTGCAAGCCTCCGCTCGTTCGGAGTTTGAATTAAGGAGTGCTTTTCCCGATGCTAGCTATGGCAATATTCTTCGTCGGACGCGCAGCATGGTGGACGCTTTCGTCGCCATCAACCTAGAACTGGTCAAAAATATGACGGCGTCCGAGGGAGAGTTATCTATTCTACGATACACCGTGAAGGAGAGGCAGCAGCTCTCCCATCGTATCAGTCATTTGCTGACAGGTAAAGTCCGATATTGGCAGAGGAGGCATTGAACCACTACTGACATCTAACCCCTCAAACAGTTATGGCCTCTTCAATGAAGCTGGAGTATCCTCTAAGCGATGCTCTGCCGAACGTTGAGCACGCCCGAGATCGGCTCCTGGCGCGTCTTTTTCATTATCGTAAAGACCCGGAAGTATCTCGAATGTCGACCGACGAAGACTACGCTCTGTTGTATGCATACGGTATGCCCTTTGTCCTGCAGAAATCACCCTCGACCATGGCTAAATTTGAACTTAGTGCTGGTGGTTGGGCAGTTGTCCGGAGAAATTGAAGCCATTCTTGGGGAAGTTGGTCGTCTTTTCGGAGTTCTGGATGAGGATGCAGTGAAGTTGTATGCTTAGACATTTTGGGGGGGGGGGGGGGGTAAAGGAACAAGCGCCCGCATTGTAGAAAAGAATAGCTTCGAAAAGTGAATTCCACGTAGAGGATCAATGTAAATGAAGAAAGAAAAGAAAAATGAAATCGTTTTCTAATTTTTCAGTTGTGTTGCGATTCTGCAACTGCGACATTTGGTTGGGGAGAAGTAAGTTGGATCAATCGTTTGCGGATGGATTGTCGGAAAGTCCAACAACTTCCCTTCTCCGTCGCTCTCACTTACTATTCACTCTCTCCATCCCTCCCTCTCCCCCGCTGTTCATTTCCCCATCAACGCGCGTCTGGGCCTGCTCTCGCCCAACAATCTCTTACATGCTTTCGTCTTATTTCATCGCCTAGAACTCAGTCAGCATCTTGATCAAGATTGAATGGGATGAGTTCCGCCTCTTCATGACGGCCTAGCTTCCCCCTCCCACCCTCTCCCACGGCTTCGCGCAGCCCCCGTGCCCCGTCGCGCTTCCGCGAGCACCGCAGTCATGCAGATCGACCCGGCTGCTCTGAGTCGGCCAGACTCGGCAGCGACCACAATTACCTCGTCCAAAGGTTCTGCGACCAATGCTCCAGCGCTGCAGAAGTCGACCAAGGCGCTCATCGCCGTTCCGCGACTCGACCTTGAACCTGTCTACACGGAGCTCAAAGCCGCCATCGGCGACCACTGGGCCGAGTATAAAGAGGCCACCACTCTTTTCCTCCTTGGTGAGTTTGACATGATGAAATGGACCCCAACACTGAACAAATATGGCCTCTGGCTTTCTGCAACCACATTCTCAGGCGCCGTCTCGTACGGTCGTATCTATATGACCCCACATCTCCGCTTGGCCTCCATCCAGATCGCGAGACTAACGTCTTCATTCGCTGAGCAGGACAATTAAATCAAAGTGAACTGTCATCGCGCGTCGATCATATAATATGCGCCGACCAAAAAACCGAGCACCTCCACAATAACTTCATCTGCGCGATTATCGGAAACTTGACCCGAGATCTCCCCGACCATGGAGTCGCTAGTTGGGTATCCGCAAATGACAAGCCCTCAGTCGTGTCGAAACCGACGTCGGGGGACGCTGCCGAACAGAGACTCAAAACAGAGGTCATGCAGCTGCCTCCGCGGGACCGGCGCAGACTTAAGGCTATACCCGAGGTAGGCAGCCAATTACTCGATATGTGGCTGGCCACGCCATATAAATTTTATCGTACAAGTCTAACATGATGTGGTGTTCCACTGGCTCAGCGTGATCCCAACGATATCTCGTCCAATGATCTGGTCAAATACCACCTGGCGAAGCAGATTAAATTGCCGAGCCAGGTACCTGCCAGCGCCGGGGGGTTAAACAAGACAAGTAGGTCTCATGCTTTACGGATAACTCTACTTTTGTTTTGCGATGAGAAGCTTACTTTTCTGATTTACGATAGATTGGGAGCTGGAAATTCGAAAACGCTACGCGCAACCCCTAGCATCTGAGACTGGCGAGTTTCCAGATGCCGAATCAATCCATGCACGCATGGTTCCTATATGCTACGAAGAGTCTATAGTCAGTGGCGCAAGCTTACCCTGTGCGGAGTATATGGCCATTGCGACAGAGACATTCGTCAAGGAAGTCTTGTCAGTGGTTTTCTCGCGAACCAGGTCTAACGGCCCTTCGGGAACCATCAATGGCATGATGATGCGCAAGTATCGACAACAACTAGAGCGAGAAGAATTGGCATTCACGAGAGGCGAAATTGTCAAAGATAGTGCAACCGGGTTATTGCCTATTGAAGCTAAGGAGGCAAGTGTCCGAAAGCCACTGGGGGTTCGGGACCTGCGGCTAGCACTTGAGCTCGGCAGCGGCGTTCTCAGCCATATGCCCCTGCTTGTGGACCAGATTATGGGCGGCTATTTCGAAGATGAGCACGAGGCAGAAAGACATGGTTCAATTGACGACGTTGTAGAGATCACGAATGACGACTCCGGACAGAATTTCTTCTCCGATGAGATGGATATTGACGACATCGACTCCGATTGGGAGGGAGGCACAACGGCTGATAGGGAGCACTTGGGTGCTTTGTTGGATGAGTGTCTATCCATGGCCGCGTGAATTATCCCCCCTTGCGCTCCTCCTTTCTCTTCCCCTCTACCCCCAGTTTCTCTCCGTGCATACACTGCGTCAACCGCTAACCCATTCTTTACTTCCTGTCTCTTTTATTTTTCTGCTTTCACAGCCTTAAGCCGCTTGATATCCGTTGCTTTCAATGCGTTGCGCCTTTGTGCCTCCCCCCCCCGTGATGCACATACATTCATACACATTTCGATCTGGATTTACCAAAGATTGGGTCCGGCATCTTGGATCTGACGGAGCGTCAAGGCGTCTTGGGAGTCTTTAAGGAATGCCGCTATGGCGCGCGACCCTGTCATTTCTGCATTTGGCATGGAGTTCAAAGATGCTTCTGTTTTGTTTTTGTCTATATTGAACCCTGTTTCCCTGTTTCTTTATTATATTGCTTCTTTCTCTCTTGCTTTCTTGCCTGCGATCACTATTCGGGCAGTCAGTCTTGTTCAATGTGACAAATCATCTTTTTTGGCTGAGAAGCCAATGCAGTCAACTCGCATTCCCTACTGTGCCAATTTATAACAGCTTCAGTCTCGCGAGGGGAGCATCAAACGTCCCTACCGATTACGGCCTACTTGAGAGGCGACTGTGACCGTTTTGGGGACATCCTGAGCTTGCCCGCTACGATCATCCGAGCTGCTCTATGGCCCCACTGCTTGGTTAATTCTGGGATAAATGAAGACAGGAACTGGACATTCTATGCATGGCTGTGAGCATGTGGATGCAAGGGTATACCCTGCGGACCTGGCGATGTTGTTCTTGTTTTGTCTAAGTACTGTACATTATCTGCTGGGACCGCCTGATTGCAGGTCATTCCGGGACCGCTTTAATGAAATAACAATGACTCATGATCTTCAAGATATTTCAAGCCAGCTGCGATCGTGTACCCTGCTGACCATACGAGCTTGTTGGACTGATAAGGCTTGTGGCCGTAATGCGTCTCCCACGCCGATCTCGGGCGTTTATTGGTAAGCTTGTCACTAGAACCGAACTTGAGTTGGGGTGAAAGGGTTGCTCAAGCGCCGAAGACCGTTCATTGAGTGAGACGGTCGGCAACCATTTTGAGAATCTCCTCTGTTGACTTGCGCGCATTGGACGGGTCTTTGGATATTGATTGCCAGACTTCGCCGTGCTTCGGTTCGGTCATGTTACATTTAGCCACGACATCTGCTCGTTTCTCCTGCACGCCGATATCGAGTCAGTCTCTGAAATACTCAAAAGAACAGGGAAGAAAAAAGAAAAGGGGGGTTAATCGTACATCTGTACCGTGCTGCAACAGGAACTTATAATACCAAGCCCACCCGTCGCCCAAGTCACTGTCGGTGACAATGGCCTTTTCAAACCAGGTCATTGCCTTCTCCAGTCGACGCTCCCCCCAAAAGATGCGAGCCACCGTGATGAAAAGAATCGGGTCGTTATCGGCCTTCTTAATAGCCTCCAAGCTGCGGGCCTTTCTCTGCGAGCGAGGCTCGAGGTGCCAAATGCTTTCGCTCCATAGCAGACCAGATGTGGGGACCTCTTGCAGGGCTTTGGCCATCAAGACCTTAGCCTGGGCGATGTTGTTGGCACGTCGTTCCACGCGAACACTCTCGGTCCACAATTCCGGGCTCTTGAGTACTGCAAGGCGGGCGCGGTCTAGAACCGAGCGAGCTTTGACGACCGCCCCGGCCTTTTCTTCCAGCCGTGAGGCCAACAGCCAGAGCGGTACCGACTTGGGGCACGCTCTGGTACCGGCTCCATAAGCCTCCCTCGCCTGAGGATACTTGTTCTGGGCTTCGTAAATCTGGCCTTTCATCATCCATAACTTGTCAGCTTTAGGGTAGAGTTGGAGACCTTGGTTGACGAGGTCAAGCGCCTCGTCAACGTTGCCCAGTTGCCGCTCAAATGCGACACTCTTGACCCATACACGATCTGTTCCTGCTTCACGGCGGGCCGTGGAAAGAAGTTCTCTGGCCTGGGCTGTCTGGTCGGCATCCGCCTCCAATTTGACAGCAGCCAGCCAGATATCTTCGTTGTTCGGGTTCTGATTAAAAGCACGGCCGAGCACTCGTCGAGCATCGTCGATTTCTCCAGATTGCCATTTCTCTTTAGCAAGCTGTAACCACAGCTCCTCGCTTTGAGGACAGGCTTCCACGGCCTTTTCAAGCACCTGCCATAGTGCCTCTTTGCTACCATGGTTGCGCTCGAGGTCAGCTGCCGCCAGCCAGATAGATCGGCGATTGACGAAAACACGGAGTGCATAGGCGTAGATAGCCCTAGCTGTTTCGTACTTGCCGCGGGCAATACTAGCCTTGGCATCCTCCATCCAGATGTCTTTACGGTCGTCATCCTCGTCGAGACCCCATCCGAGAGTCTCGCGGATAATAGCACCGCAAGTGAGAATGGCACCCTCCTCCTCACACTTCTCAGCCTCGGCGATCCATTCCTCCCTCTTAAGCATCGCGTTCTCTCTTGCTAAGCTCTGTACAGCCCTCTTCATAACGTTGACCTTCTCGGATGTACCCATTTGTTCCTGCAACCTCGCGGCTGCGATCCAGACTTCGTGGCTGGTAGGGACGGCTTTTCGAGCAGCATTAAGAACCTTCTGCGCATTTTCTGGGGTCTCGAGGCGCGCCAGAGCAAGCCAAAGCTCCACTGACAGAGGTATAATTTCAACTGCCTTTGCGAGAAGAAGACGTGCATCTGCTGGGTCTTCCTCCAGGTTGACGGCCTCTTTCCAAATGACAACGGACTGGGGAATGTGAAGAATAGCTTGTCTGAGCACATTCTTTTTGGCGCGGGGCTCGGTTTCCAGTCTCATCGCCTCAATCCATAGTCTTGTTGAGCGGTCGTTGTTCTTGATCGCATTTGCAGCTATAACCTTGGCGTTATGTCCTTCGTTGAGCCGGATGTTCTCCAGCCAGGCGTCTTCACTTTTCGGGCATAATTCGCAGCCCTTGGCGATGACATTCCGGGCCGTCACAACTCTACCAGCAAGTTCTTCCAGACGAGCCAGAGCTATCCACCCGGGAGCATGCTTGGGGTTCGTCTTCGTTACTGATTCTAAAAGAACGCGAACCCGTTTAATGTCGCCAATTTCCACCTCGCCCGCCTTGAGCTCCGACTGGGTGAGGCTTGTAAGATAGCCCTTAGGGTCGATGTTGGTGGCGCTTCCCGAGGCCGAGTCGCCCGATGAGCCCATTGCAGCTTGATCCAGTCTGACCTGTAGCACCTTGTCACGCGCGGCACTTATATTGGCAAAATTCGTTATCGTTCCATCCGCACTCTCTGCTCCCGCGGCGGCACTGGTCTGCGCACCGTCGTCTGCCACGGTTGTTTCAAATTGCGTCGAATCCCTTGCACTGGCAATCACACTGTCCGGCACCGCATAGAACCGTTGGCGGAGATTCTGCTTCGCGCGCCTGTTCTTGCCCGTAAGATCTCCCACCTCCGGTAGGTTCGCCCACTCGTCTTCGGAGACGGAGGCTAGCGATCGTTTTAGGTCGGCAAATTGCTGCTGAATCTTGGGGTTCTTGCGTTCGTATTCCTCTCGCTCTTGCCGCTCTCGGGCTTCTCTGGTAGGAGCCAGATTCCATGTCAGTAGTCCATCCTGACACGAGGTCGCCGGGGAACTGATAAACACCGCGGAGGGAGTGCAGCCAACTAACCTTCGCATCTTGCGTCTTTTGTCCATCTTCTCATCTACCTCCCGGTAGATCCGATCGGCTTCATCATCCTCCTGATCGAACTGTCCGTAGGCAAACAAGCCCACCTCGTTGTCGGGATCCTGGAACCGCCCATCCTCCTCCTCGTCTTCGGCTTTGTCGTCCTTGCCACCCTTATCTCGCCCGGCTCCATAGGCAGTCGGGGGCGCGGCTCCTAGTTGTTGCGCTCGTTTCGCGAGCGCTGCCTGGATCTGTTCCGGCGTGGGCCCTTCACGCGCAGGTCCTAGATCTGAACGGGTGGTGAAACCGGTCGCACCGCGACCAAGACCCGCAACGTAGTTCTCAGGGGCGGGCTGGCTCAGAAAGTCTTTCCGCCCAGAGGCCATACTGACCGAGACACACGTCACAGAGGATGAAGTAAAGCTGAAAGACCGCAGCGAGGCCTGATGGAAGACGGGTTGGTGGCAAGCGACGTAGGCGGTGGATATTGATCGATGCTTTGCGACAGGCCATCGGGGAGACGGTCGCATTTAGATTGTTCCGGCCCCGGTAATCTTATCAGGAACCTTGAAGTCTCCGCAATGCCTTTGATTTTTTTGCCTTATTCACACCGGAGTGGAGCACAGCACCGAGGGTGTCACAGGGTCTCTTTTGAAGACCTCTTTTTTACGTTGCATACCTATATTACAGCAAGGCCGACCGTGGTAATCGCTGCCTCTGATCACCGCCATGCCTAAGGTCAAACAACAGAAGCGCAACAGCGCCTCCAAAGCCAACCCATATGCAGACGCTGCAGCCAAAACTAAAGCAGCCAACAGCATTTTCAAAATGAACACAGACCTTGGTCAACATATCCTGAAAAACCCCGGCGTCGCCCAACGAATCGTGGAGAAAGCTGAGCTGAAACAAAGTGACGTGAGTAAAGCCTTCGCTATGTCCAATACGCAGTATTCAGGCACATCTAAAGTCTGATATACCTCGTCTCACAGGTCGTGCTGGAAATCGGTCCTGGAACAGGTAACTTGACCGTAAAAATCCTCGAGAAAGCAAAGAAAGTCATCGCCGTTGAGCTGGACCCTCGAATGGCCGCTGAGGTCACGAAACGTGTCCAGGGGACGCCCGCCCAGAATCGCTTGGATGTTATACTCGGAGACGTGATGAAGACGGATCTTCCGTACTTCGACGTCTGCATTAGCAACACTCCCTATCAGGTGCGCTTTCGTATCTAGGTCTTTTTCTCATCCAGTCCCTAACATGCTTGCGACCAGATCTCTTCCCCACTCACATTCAAGCTTCTCGCTACCTCACCAGCTCCTCGAGTCTGCATCCTGATGTTTCAACGGGAGTTTGCGCTGAGACTTTTCGCCAAACCGGGCGATAAACTTTACAGTCGACTCTCGGTCAATGCTCAGATGTGGGCCAAGATCGATCACATCATGAAGGTTGGAAAGAACAACTTTAAACCACCTCCGCTGGTCGAGTCCAGTGTAGTCCGCTTAGTCCCCAAAAATCCCAGGCCGCAAATCAATTATGACGAATGGGACGGGCTTCTAAGAATCCTTTTCGTTCGAAAAAACAAAACAATCCGATCAAGCTTCCTGGGCAAATCCACTGTTATGGACATGCTGGAAGCTAATTATCGGACATGGTGCGCGCAAAATGACATTCCGGTGGAGGATGGACCAGCGGGTGAGACTGGAGCAGATGCAATGGACACAGGTAATATGGAAGATGAAGAAGATGAGGACGAGGCTGAAGAAGTCATGGATGTGGATGATGAAGATGACGTGCCGGACTTTTTCAAGGAACAGGAAAATGCCCGGATACAAGAGGCGCTAAAGGGTCGGCCAAGCCGAAAGAAGAGAGGGAAAGTGGGAGAGCTAGTTCGGGAAAAAGTTCGGCAGGTACTGGAAGAAGAAACGGGGCTCGCTGATAAACGTGCCAGGATGTGTGATGAGAATGATTTTCTGAAGCTGTTGTGGGCGTTCAACCAGAAAGGCTTCCATTTCACCTGAACACACTGCTGGCAAGAAGGAGCGCGTATGGGGCCTTGGGATCTTCTGGTGTATACGAAAACAAATCTCCTTAATGATTCACGACAGTCGTCACTGGAAGCCATTCTCAGGCGACCGATCTCCAGCCGGGCGAAGATGGGCACGAGAGTCCTGAAAAAGACTTTGCCATATGTAGGCTTCACTTAGCAAAAGTTCAATATCCTTCTCAGTCCAGCCCTTCGTCGGTAGGGCTTGCAGGAACATCATAATCTCCTAATTCTAGTTAGCTTGGTCTGAGCTGGTACAGCTCTTCCCATCAGAAACGCACCTGAAAGTCCATTTTCACCAGTTGATCTGTCCACTTCACCAGAAACGCCGCACACACGTAGAGGTGGAAGCGTGAGAAGCCCTGCTCTTCAGCCTATATGCATATTATCAGTAAGGACGTCAGGATTATGATCTCTTTGGAAGTGGACATGCAGTACCATATATGTATCCCACATCCTTATGGTATTTTGGACGCTCATTTCTCGCATGAGGAGGCAGTTCATCCATCGAAAACTGAATTGCATGAATTCCACACCCTCTTGCTCTAAATGCTTAGCCAGCGTAGAGTCTATGCGCATGGTCAAATCACGCAGTGCTCTGACTTGCCTGTGAATCCCAGGTTGAGCATAGATGTAATTGTCCTGAATTCCGTCCAGGAGTTTGGTAAGACACCAAAAGGAGTCCGCCTCCACCGCATCCAGCACACTCCGAGGTAATTGACCTGGATCCATGCCTTCCTCGACATTAAGGTCGGTGACGTAAAGTCCAAGAAATACTTGCCAGAAAGGAGTCACAAGGTCATTGATGCCTTGGACATAGCCGCTGGCAGGATGACGTATAGCCCAGACGTAGAGTATCTTCTCTAAAGAGCGCTGAGTAGCCTCGTAGCTGTAGAGCTGGATGTGAGGGCTGGTGCGAGGAACATCTATACTAATCTGATGCCAGACTGCTTCATCTAACCCTCTACCTCGCCCTGTGACGGACGAAGACGGGTTTCCGGAGGTTGAAGGGCCTCGCTCAAAAGCTTGTCGAACCCCATCCAAGTATTCCTTGCGCTTCCTTTCAAGGGTCGAAATGCGCCGTTCACTGTTTGTCGGCAAGTACCCAAGTAGTAATTGCCAAGTCATTGCTCGCACTTCTTCTGGGACCCCTGACCACGCGAGGTTCCTGAGTTCCGCAAGAGGAACAGTGCTCGTCTGCAGCAGACGCTTGAATTTGTTGATCCTTGAGATGCGACTCGAATATAGGTCCATTTCTTTAGGCGACGCATTTTTTGGTGGTGGCGCATGATCAATAAGATTGAGAGCGTGCGCAGGGTCTAGATTTATTAGCAGATGCGCTTGGACCTGTCTGCGCTTAGGCTACAACCAACCTCTCAAAATTTCCTTATACTGAGGACGTAGGATTTTACCCTCTGCTTTCTTTGCTGTAGGGTAAATTGAAACGCCACGCTCTTCTGCAATGTCAGAGCTATTTGCCCGTTGTCGATTGCTTCCAAGACCAACACCAAGGGTCAAATGATCCCCTATCCCCCCACCGGGGTCAACGGTGTTAGGTTGAACTAGAGCAGTAGCCCTGCTTTGCTTTCTCCGCATGCTGGTAATGCTTGGGAGCCCAAATTCGTCCTCATCATCATCGTAGGCTACATTCTCCTCCTCATCTTCATCTTCCTCCTCTTCTCCTTCGTCTGCCCGATAACTTTCCCAAGCTTCCAGTCCTCCGTTCATGATGCCAGAGTATGAGGTGCGAGGCGATGAGGCCCATAAACCCGGCCGGTGTGGAGACAAGGTAGCATGTGGGGTACTGGTGGAAGTCACTGGAGGTGGTGTTCGTGGACGAGCATGTGGTTGTGGGCCTCTATGGGGCATGCATTCGGATCAATCACTAGCAAACAGGAGCAATCAAAGCGTGCGGCCGTGAGACTCACACTGAAATATTGGCATGGGAGTATGAAGCTCCAACGACGGTATTCGACTCCGGGGTTCTGGACGATGTCTGGTTATGCGACACCGACCTAGCCTTCCAAAACGGCGAATTACTTTTCCTTCGCGCACCGGTTAGTGGGCCTTCTATAAGCTGCGGTGACAGGAAACAGCTTCAATTGATTCGCTGGGTTGAGGATTGCCAACTCAGGATTGAAACTAACGTACTCGATGCGATCTGTGACGGCAACAGGGGAATTGATCAGTTGCGGGAATCTTGTAGGCGAGATAAATGTAGGTATGGAAGAGGCACGAACCAACCTGGACCATCTCCTGATAGCGAGTTGACCAAGCGATCGGGTCAGCAACCCAATTATATAGGACTTTCGAAAGATGTCTGGGGAAGGGAAGCGTCTGCACCGAGCAGACTAAGACTAACTTACCTGCTGCTGGCCTTTTTTGCTTGCCATTGCGTCAAGCTCTTTATGTAGAGAAGACGGGGCCTATTGAACAGATCATAAGCTGGCTCCCAGGCGAGAAAAGCAAGAGTCGGAAGATTGAGAAGAGGAAGAAGGTGATCAAGGAAAGCTAAGTCGGGGAGGGAGAGGCAGTGCGGGGAGAGAAGTATCACTGGCACGTGGAGGTATGTATGTACGTACAGTTATGCACATACAGTAAATAACTTAGTAGTAAGTAGTTAGTAAGTTTACTACGTAGTAACTAACTAGTAGAATTCCGCCAGACTGGAGCAAATAAAGGTAATAACCTACACAAAAGAGGCCGCAAACACTCTCAAGTCACACCATAAGATCGAGAGGATCATCAATTGTAATAACCATCAGTACTAAATAATGATTCATGGGGGGACTGCTGAGCTTTGTTTCGTCATGACCGTCATGGCCTCTGTCAGTCATGGTATTGCGGTTACCGCAGGTCACTCACCTACCAGAAGTAATGTACTTTACTTTACATGTATTTTACATGTATAATGTGGTCACTTACATACCATACAGTTTTACTCGCCTCAGTTTAACCTCCTCCGCTCCTACTTTCCTCTCCTTCTCCTCTCTCTTCCTCTTTCTCCTACTTCATCTACACCTCCCTCCTCCGTCCTTTCTCTTGTTCAATAAATCTCTCTCAGTCCATCACTCTCTCCCCTTTACTTTCCTTTTCTGACACCGGACATCCATATCTGGTAGCAGTCTGCACTGCTTGATTCGATAATATTCTTGGTCGAGTCCAGTGGCTCTCGTTTGAACCAATTCCAGTTCACCAGCCGGTGTTGGCTATCTTTACAAATTACATTACCATTCCTCTCACGCTTTCCGCTTCCCAGCTTCTCCAATCCAGTCACTGAGCGATAATGGCTGAACCTGAGGATGTTGAGGAAGACCTCTTCGCCGATTTGTAGGGCGCTCCCGTCAATCATCCCAGTTTAAGACATCTGACGCTCGGTATTCGCAATTCTAGGTACGATGCCGACGACACTACGGCTCAGTCGACGTCTGTTGTAGAACCTCCACAGGTTTCAGACCCCATCACCTCCGCTCCACCTGTTCCCGCGACTGAATCTCATACGCAATATGCGGATCAGCACCATGGTGATGCCGAAGTGGGCGGATCCTATCAATATTCCCACCAGTCTGGCAATCATGTGGGAGGAGAAAATGGCGGCGCTGGCTTTCCGAATCTTTCGGCAACTCCAGTGGGCGACTCCGAGCCTCAAGGGACCGGAATCAAAGAAGACGGGTGAGTACTATTTTCAGTCGAAGATCCCTACATCGTGTTTTATTCGTATCATGCACTCTTCATTGCGCCTGTGACTTTGGTGGTCACAGTCTCAAAAATGCTTCTCACCCCCCTTCCTCATTCCTCGTCTTATCCTCAGTCATCCAGAGGGGATTTGCCAGTGTCTGAATGTTGCCACTGCGCGGGCCTCATGTTTCAAGCGAGACATGAGCGATTCCTACACACTACTCATCGGGCTCCCATCCAGCCCCAACAATGGCTCGTGCTCAATGTCGATTGAGTTCCGGTTTCCTGGTGCTGTGTACGAAAGGGTCAGGTTCTATCATCTCAGTCAAGGATTTCTCCTGTTCTGGGTCGATCGTGGTTTCTGGATGGAAAAGAGATCTCGGCCTTGAACAAGAAAATTTGATATTAAGAGGATATCCTCACTGGCGATGTTGAATTTCGTCCAGTGCTCACCCCCACGTTACGAGGCTCGTGTGAGAGATCTATCGGCGATACGGCAACGATATAAGACTCAGGAAGACAGTGCTCGGGTCCCTAGCTTTTGAGGCCGTGCTACGAGCGATTATAGTACACCCGATACTATATAGCTTCATGTCGATATATCATGATAGAGCACAGCAAGGAATGAGGCCTTGACTGTCTAGTTTGGAAGGTTCTCGAACAGATTACCTAGCTTCGGACTTGATTAGACAGACAGGCAAAAGACTCTATGGCCAAACAGACAGACAGACAGACAGACAGACAGACAGACAGACAGACAGACAGACAGACAGACAGACAGACAGACAGACAGTTAAGAAGGGAAAGAAAATGGACTTAATCCATCCGCCTCACATGCTCCAACCTGTGGTGACACTACCCGCATACCTTTTCGATGCTGGAAACCGCGTTTGGTCTTCATCTCACTGGATGGTGTTGTAAACCAGTGTTGCTTCCTGATTAGGAGACATAGTGATTGTCTTGGACAAGGAGATCCCTGGCAATGTATTGATGGCCCAGACCGACCCACGATATTGGGGTCTTTTTTCCAAAGTCTCAACGCCCTTCTGGGTTCAGTCGATGCTTCTGTCATAGTGACAGAGAGACAGCAAGAATAAATCGGCTCGTGTCCAATGACAAGCCGTGTGCCGGCCAATACTCACTCCTATGCAGCTAGCATCTCTTGATCAAGTCCCTTCACTGCATCAAGAATCATCAAGCTGCAATGAATGGAGCAGATCATCCTACCCCGTCCCTCGCAGCAGTCAATGGCCCACCGCCGGGCCTGTCATCTCCTTTGTCGTTTTTTCTGGATTATCTGTTGTTTCTCAAATGTTCTTCATAGCGTTTAATGCTTGAGAGTTTGCAATACAGCTTTTGCTAATCGTGTCATGGCCAGGAAAATGTTCATTGGTGGTTTGAACTGGGAGACTACGGATCGTATGTACTTTCCCTTGGCTGGCTGCGGCTGCTCCTGTCGCCCATAAGTTATCTGACAAGTTCGATTAGAGTCCCTGAAAGATTACTTCTCTCAGTTTGGGGAAGTACAAGAATGCACTGTGATGCGAGACAGTGCTACGGGTCGCTCCAGAGGATTTGGATTTTTGACATTCAGAGACCCGAAGACTGTCAATACCGTCATGGTTAAGGAACACTATTTGGATGGCAAGATTGTAAGAGCCTCCGTCACACATTCCTTCCCGTACTTGTTATGAAGATCCTCAACAGCTGACCATTATGTGGCAGATCGATCCCAAGCGTGCAATCCCACGTGACGAGCAGGAGAAGACCAGTAAAATATTTGTTGGTGGCGTGAGCCAAGAGGCAAACGAACACGACTTCAGAGAATTTTTTACCCAATTTGGGCGTGTCATTGATGCCACCCTGATGATTGACAAGGATACTGGTCGTCCCCGTGGCTTCGGATTCGTGACATTTGACAGTGAAGCGGCCGTCGAAGCAGCTCTCTCCCGTCCTCTGGAAATCCTCGGGAAGCCCATTGAGGTGAAGAAAGCTCAACCAAGAGGAAATCTGCGGGATGAGGAAGACCGCCGATTCCGCCGTGGCAGGGAGGGTTTCCGTGACGGTGGCGCAATGGGAAGCGATGGTTCGCAACCACAAGCCGTGGCTCAAGGCCAAGGCAGCATGGCTGGTGGACTCACTCCCCAGATGATGGCACAGTATTGGCAAAGGATGCAGCAGTACTTTGCCTTGATGCAACAGCAAATGGCCGTTGCTGCGGCTCAAGGTCAAGGCATGGGCGGCATGGGTATGGGCGGCATGAACCCAGCCATGATGCAACAGATGCAACAAATGAAACAGATGCAGCAAATGCAAATGGGGAACAATCAAGCACCACAAGAGAGTCTGAGCCCTCCGTCGCAGAGCTCAACGCCCCAAACCATGGCACCGAACATGATGAATCCCGCCATGATACAGCAGATGCAGCAGATGCAGCAGATGCAGAATCAAGGTCAAGGCAGCAGCTCCGGAGGCATGGCCGGTCAGATGGGGGGTGGGGGCAATGGAATGAACATGGCCGCAGCTAACGCCAATGGGAATTACTCGAGTCATCGCGGTGGACCTGGCTACAATGCTCAGGAACAAATCGCCTTTGAGCAACAAAAGTACGAGCAGCAACAGGCGCGCCGAGCCATGGAAAACCGGGCTTTCTCTCCCTACCAACAAGGTGGGCCAACTTCTTGGGAAGGTATGTATGATGAAGTACCTCAGCCGAACATCCCGACCGGGCCCCAGGCCATGACCCGCGCGGGGAGCATGGGACGCGGTATGTCTTTTCCTATCCTGCCATCCCCAGGTCCTGCCTGTCATTTGCCTTGTCTGCCCGAATATGCTAACACCGAAACATAAAGGTCCAACTCCGCAACCTCAAAGTGCTGCCCCAGCCAATGCTCCGACAGGCCCGAAGAATGCCGGCAAGCCAGGCGCCAACTATCGCGGTGGAGGCCGTGGAGGTCACCGGGGCTTTCACCCATACTCGCGCGGTTGAGGACTTGGTTTTTCTTCCTTCGGTCCTTGTGCCTTTCCTTTCCACAGGCTTGTACATGTGCGCGCAGTCTCCAATGCTACCTTCCCCTTGGGATCTTCATAAATCAGTCAGATTCCTTGCTGGTGCCCTTCCGCCCTTTCTATTCATCGCGACGTAAAGGACCCTCAGCAACTCTCGCTGGTCACCAATCCAGAATGGCATGATCCTCCAGCAGCAATAGTGACATTTGATACTACAAAAACCTCGAAAAATGCATGGCCACGCCTATTTGTTGCCTATCTTTTCTTCTTCCCTGCCTCCTTTTTTTGACGCTTCGTACTGTATCTCTTACACTGTCTTCCTCTCATTGTTTTTTTCTCTCGCGGTGTGTGCGTGCGAACTAATCCAAATTGTGCATCGCATCTGGCATGGATTGCTATGGTCTTTATTCTGTTCTCAATCCTGTCTTGCTATCGCTTTATGTAACAAAACACTGGGTTTTTGCGGTGGAACGAATCCTCTGTGCGTATTTAAACTATGCGTAGCCAATCTGGTAGCCTGAGAGCATTAGAGTCTCGATATCGGAATGGTAGAACAGAGCCGGGCCCAGCTTGGTGGCAGTGTCACCTCTTTGGAGACACAGCCTACATGGAAAGAAGGCAACCCAGAGTATATGCTTAGGGTCCGTGCTTGAGATAGGCAGGACTATCAAGACCGATTTTCTGGATATGGTTCAAATAACAGACCTTTGGGGGTAAAGATGGTGCAGGGAGCTAAACAGCAATGAAACTAGAAGCAAGTGCAAACAGCCACACCACCACCACAAAAAAGTACGCTAAATTTGTTGGAACTGACACAACAAAATCTATGTCCAAGAAAGAGTTTTACGCCGGGAGAAAAGAATATAACAACAAATCGTAACCCCAATTTATCCTACAGGGAGGATCAGTAAGCGAACCCATAGCCGGGGGTAGTGGCATGGTGCCTTTCAGGAGCATCATGACTGTCACGGCTCCGCCGACTCTCACGGCTTACAGCACGATCGTGTTGCTCTTCAGGGTTATAGCCAGACCCAACTAATCGATCCATACTCCCAGTGGGACTCTGCCGCCCTTTGTGATCGAACTGGTCACGATAGGGCTCGTAGGGACCGGTGAAATTGAATTTGCTCATCTCGGCGTAATCCTTACGAGGAGGGTTGTCCATCAGGAGAGACTCGCGGGCGTCCAAGGGGGTCAGATCGTCCATGTCGCGATTCATTTTGTCTGTAAGAGCAAATTAAGACGATTAGCATATACAGTTGTAATTAGGCCCAATGTTCGGAATTGTAGCGACTTACCGGCCTCTCGTCTCCGCTTCGCATGAGGATTCTCACGACAGCAGAGGAGAATCGCGTTGACACAAATGAGAATGGCCAAGATGCCGGTGAAGCCAGCCTGGACCGCGATGAGAACAATTCCGGTGACCGTCTTGGTTGTCTCTGATAGGCCGAGCTCATCCACAAACACCAAAACAAGAACAACCGACAGAACGCGTACTACTTGCACACTGGTGTTAATCCATTGGCTCGACTTCACAACGTAGGGTCGATTCCACAGTAGCATGACCAACATAAGCGCCTCAACGATAAGCTGACCCGCACTTTGCGCCAGCCCATGGCCATTACCTGCCGCGATAATGCAACCCTTAGCGAACATATATACAATCGCGGGTACGAATATCCACCAATAATCCTTCTTGTAATTGTCGTAGAAAAGGCTGTACTTGCGCCAGGTTTCGCTATCATCGTACAAGCGAGATGCGTCGCCTTCAGATTTTCTGAACTTCCGTGCCAGATAAGCAATCCGAAGACCGAAGAACAGGAGCACAGCTGTGAATACAACCAGAGCAACGGCAGCCAGAATTTTTGCGGCCCAGGAATCTCCGCTGCTGAGTTGGTAGACACACCAGATGACCCAGATCCCATATAGAATCAAGATTAAATTGGTGATTGTCCGCCCGAGGAGACCCCAATAGTCCTTGCGAAAGTT